CGCGTCTTTCTTTTCTGCTGTTCCTTGGCTGCCTCTGCTTCTGTGCAAACACCCGTGGCCGCCGCGCCAGTCTTTCGTGGGGCGGAGGAGCGGCCGGGAGGCGGGAGTTCCCAACTAGTTCTTCGCCGCGGCTCCGCCATGGCCATCCTCAACCTGGATTCTTTCACCATTAGAATTAGGCGGGAAGGGGAAGCTAGAGAATGAAGGTCGGAGACCGGAACCCGTGTAAAGAGGAGTCAAGGGGAGAGGCAGCAGACGATGGGGGAGTAGAGGTAACCGGAAAGACTCATCAGCTTTGCCAAGCCGTTCCCCTTCAGACGTGTGTTGGAGTTCCTTGGTTCAGAACGCCACAATTCCCACCAACTCAAAGGATCTCCCATCTCTAGAACAGGGCTGGGCTATTCCTGCGCTCGCCAGCACCGCACTTGCAGCCCCCGGAGCCTTTTTCAGATCTTAGTAGGGAGATGAAGGCCAAAATAGGTGCCCTTCCCACTGAAAAGACTCCTTAAAACCCAAATGGAGGAAAGGTCTAAACATTTCAGGCCCACCCAGTCCAGTGATATCATAACGACGACAGTGTCCAACCACGCGGGTGCGCGCTGGCACCCACCCACCCAGACACACATACACACACGCTGCAGAAGTGAGGTTGCCAGGCAGAACATAGATACACACCTCTGTTACAGAACGCCAACATTTAGGTGAAGCCAAGCTGTAGCCTCAGCATTATGCATCTTGTAATATTTTGATCCAGTAAAAGGCAACTGAAACAATGTTTGCACCAATATGTGATGGCTACTGTCATTGCTCTGAGTACATGTTCACCTTGGTACTATGAGGGAGAAGGAAATCTGTGGATATGTGCCAGATTAGGAAACATTGGGAGAATCTGGAAAGTCTGAATTGTAATGCTGTTTTCTCTCTCGATAATTATTTTATTTATTTATTTATTTATTTATAAATCAAATTTATATCACTGCCCAACTCCCCCACAAGGAGGGGCTCTGGGCGGTTCACAACCAAACAGTTTAAAACCAATAAAAACATAAATACAATTATTAAATATAATAAAATCCAAGTGATGGTGGTATTATTTCAGCCTGTGACC